CCGCGCCGTCTCCCCCCCCCCCCCCCCCCCCCCCTCAGGTCTGGCTGCAGCCCGGTGCCCAGGGACTTTGTCCTCTTACCTGGGCAGCTGCTGCTTCTTGTTGGAGTGAGCAGGCTTGTGTTTCAGGGTGCAGCAAGGCCCCCACTTTATAGCCTGGCAAGGGCAGACCCCCGGGCGGACGCACAAAGGAACTGCCAGCTCATCAGTGTCTGTGCGGCCGCCCAGTCATCACATCCTGCAAAGCGCTGGGCGAGCTGGAAGCCTCTCCCCGGCCCCGTGCCCAGCCGCTGAACCCAGCACTTTCCTTTGTGCCCGCGGCACAACAGAAGACCTGACCGTGCCACTTTGCAGCGTGTGGTGGCACCCGCTGCCCCGCATGCGGCCACCCCAACAGGGCATATATAGCCCCCACGCGGCCCGGCCGGTGCCGGCACGCCACCTTTCCCTGCCCACCGCCCTGGCGCCAGACCCACATGGGCACCCAGCTCCAGTGCCCCTGCAGCCGGGGAGGGTGCACCAGCCCCATGCCCCATGGCTGCATGGTGCCCAGCCCTATGGCTGCACTGTGCTTATCTCTCCCCTCTAAACGCTAAATCTCTTGCTTTAAACATCACTCCATACCCACAAACACCCGAGTGCGCTGCCCTGAAGATGCCAGGAAGCAAGACTTAAGTGTTTTGAAATGCTTGAAGAGTTGGGTTTTTTTCCAAATGATGTGTAATCAAAGCTGACACTTTTCAAACCATCTCAGTCCCTGAAAATGGTGTTCTCCTTTGAGGATGTCCCTGCTCACTGTGTCCACTGGCATGGACGTTAGCTAGTTTTTAGCACACTGAACCTGTGCTGTGCTCATTCTATACCGTCCCCAGTTTCGCCATCACCACGCTGCACGGTACCAAATCCCACGTGGGGTTTCAGTGCATCAGCGCTGCCTCTGACAGACGGCAGGCGGAGGGGGCTGTGGGGTGGCCAGCCAGGGACACACTGGGCACTGCTCCCTGGGGCAGCCCAGCCTGCGGTGCCTCATCTCCTGCACCCCATGGGTGCTTTCTGCACCGGGAGGCACCTTGGGGGGACCTTCCCCTGATCCCACCAAGCATCCGATCAGCTGCTCTCCCTGTTTGCCTGCTGTGATCCTGTTCATCATGTAAATACCTGCACACTTGTTTCCTCCCGGTCCTGTCCAATACCCCCAGCCTCCCGCAGCAGGCAGCACCAGCACTCCTGGGCTGGCTCTTCATCACTGGCAGCAGTAAATCACCCAAGGCTGCATCCAGAAAGCTCAGAGCTCTCAGTTTTGCCATCGTCTTTCGTTCTCTTCAAGCGTGAAGTGTCAACCAGCAGCGGTGGGATCCAGCTGCACCCTCTGGGCTATTGCCCAAAAACCTGAACAAAAGGCATTTACTGATCCCTTCTTCTGTTCCCGCGGTTTTATGGCGGGCTGTGCCGTGCCCGCAGGCCGAGCCAGGTGCGGGTGCTGCTGCCCCGTTTCCCCTGGGCACTCCCTGCAGTCTGGTCTCTCACCTTGATGCTGGGCAGCTTTTTATGATTCATGGCTTTCAATTTGCATCCATTTTCATGTTTGTTAGACAGATTTCTATTTTAAGTTGCATTCTCTTCCTCTCGGAGCCGGGGGGGTGTTTTTAACAGCGCTGCCTTGCCTGTGGCTCCTGAGCATTAATCAGCAGGTCTCACCCACCCCCCAGCTTCTGCTGTCCTGCTCCTGCCTCCCCTTTCCCTCCCAGCTTCCAGCACCTTTGGACTTGGGCATTGGAAAACCATGCTTGGAGGGACCAAGCTCTGCCCCTTTTGGCTGCTCCGCTCTGCTTTGGCCATTACTCCGAGGACTCGGCAGCCCCATGATTTTCCCTGAGACAGTGCTGTGGAAGGGCTGACAGCAGGGATCTGCCCTCAGTGGTTCCTGTGCCCCCCAGACACGAAATCTCTGCCCTCCCCACTAGGCATCCCTGTCCCTGGCTGCAGGTGCTTTGGAAAGCCCCTCGCTGCACTGTCCCGCCCTGGCACGGAGGGGCACGTGGGATGCACACCTCAAACACAGCAAAGAGTTGCCTAAGCCTCACCCCCAGTGCAGATGGCTGGAGCTGACCCAGCTTGGCCCCAGCAGGCACAGGCACGGGCACATGCCCAGCGCGAAGCGTTTGTTCTGCCCTGGTGAGTCCTGCTGCACATGGAGCTCCCACTGCTGCGTCCCCTGCCTGGCGCTGAGTGGCACCATGGATGCACCCAGCTGCAGCCCGGGCTCTGCACAACCACATCCCAGTGCCAGGGCACATCATGGAGAGCGAGCGAGCTGTGGTCACCATGCTGGTGGCCGGCAGCAAGCTGAGTTTAGCTCAGGCCACAGAGAGAGGCTGCGGTTTGACTTGTGCCAAACGCACATTTGCTGGGGGCTGCAGATGTCAGGAACAGCCAGCGCAGCCCCACTGCAGCCAGGAGCAGCCAGTGGCATGTGAGCGCCCCGCCTGCCGTGCTCACCTGCTCTGCCTCCCCCACGGTGCCCAGGGCTGCCAGGGCTGCGGCTGCACAAAGGAAGATGCTCCAGCTCAGCCACCCAGCGGTTTCCTGGCAAAGGCTGTCCCAAAACACAGCACTACCCGGGAACATGGGTTTTGCCACCTGGCCCAACAGCCTCCTTTCGCTGCTGCCCCAATGCTCCCTGCTCTGACAGGCAGGCTGTGAGGGTGCCTCTGCATGATGCTCAGCCCTCGGAGCCCTGCACGCTCCCAGCATGACCCTGGGACGATTTGGTGGTGGTGGGGGGGGGGCACCATGAGCAAAGCTTGAAGGTGTTTAGGTACCCAAAATGTGGATGCAGCGGGCTCTTTCCAGGTCCCTGCACACAGAGGCAGGTGGCTGCTGCAGCGTTCCCTAAGTCTTGATCTGCATCTTTAGTCCCTGTAATGCCTCTGCAAACCTGTCCTTTGCTTTCCCATGCCCCTGGTTCCCGCTTGTTACAATGCTCCGTGGTTGCTGTGTGCTCAACCTGCAAAAGAGCTTGCCCCGGCTTTCAGGGAGAGCTGCTCTGCCCTAGCAGGGAGAGCAAGCACTGCTGCAAGTGGAGATGCATCTTTCCTCCTACTTCCCAGAAATGCGAGTGAGAAAACCTCCCTGCACCCTCAGCCAAGGCACGGGGCAGGCAGTGCTGCCCGCAGGCAGGAGGAGCGCTGCCAGAGCTGGGGGGCATGGTCCCCAGCCCAGCTACAGGAGCACCGGCAGACCCCAGGGGTGATGCCCCGGCTCTGGAGCTGCAGGGCTGGGGGTCAGAGCCCATGGCCGGTGGGCCGGGGGAGCGGGAGCCACAGCGTCCCAGCTCATCAGCTTCTCTGCAGCGTCGCCTTTGTTCTGCCCAGTCCCTCCTCCCCGCCATGTGCTGAGTTAGGGGTTTCAGTAATGCTCTCCTGGGCTTTGTCTCTATCTGGAGGCTATAAAAACCCAGCCAGAGGGCTGCTGGGCATGTCACCTCCTCGGGCACCAGTGCCTCACCCAGGTAAGTGCAAGAGCCTGGCAGTAGATGCCCCTGCCCCTCATGGCTGGGTCCTGGGAGCAGAGCAGTTGCGGGGATGTGTGGGGGAGGATCCAAGAGCCAGGGCTGGACTTTGGTCCGCAGACACAACTGGGCTGGGGGCTGCAGGGCCCTGCAGCCAGGGTGCGAGACAAGGGCAGCTGCCGGGGACGGGCTGTGGCACCGCTCTGCCATCACATGCCTCGGTGCAGGGGAATGATGACAGATCAAGGGGCATCGCTGGCCGTGGCAGCGGGGCAGGGTGCTGCTGCTCAGCGTGGGCATGCGGCCACCTCTGCAGCGCTCCTGGCTCAGCGCTGCCCTGGCTGCAGCCCCGGCGGTGAGCACGCCCGGGGACCTGCATGGGGCTGCCTGTGCCAGGGCTGCCTGCACAGGGCTTTGGCTCAGGCATCTGCCTGCAGGAGGAGGAGTCTCCCTGGACACGGGCAGCCATGGGCAGCCCCATGCATGGGCAGGCAGCGTGCTCACCCCGCTGCAGTGCTGTGCCATGCTGCCAGGATGGCTGCCAGGGCTGCGGCTGCCCAGCCAGACACCCGCTGCTCTGCACGGCCCAGATGGCAGCCCTGGGTGGGCTGGGAGAGCCCTGGCCTGTGCCCTGTGCCTGCTCCAGCATGGAGCCATCCCATCACTGCCTCCCACGCCACTGCTGAAGGGACGTGCACAGGCTCCTGAGGACAGTTTCATCCGAGCAGAGGCTGGAGCAAGCCCTGCAGAGCAGAGCAGGTGGCTGCAGGCCATGCAGGCTCCCGCGCTGCCCATGCAACGCATGGCCTGAAGCCCGGTCCCAGGATCTGGGAGTCCCAGGGAAGGGCCAAGCCCCCAGTGCAGGGCTGGTGGGTCTGGCCAGGCTGCAGCGGCGAGGTCAGGCTCATGGGGGCCAGCAATGCACCAGCCCCAGGGCAAGCTTTAATGGTCCTGTTCCCCTGTGCCCTGGCAGAGCCACCATGACCCACCACTGCAGGAGATCCTCCGGTCTCTGGAAGGTACAGGAGCCTGGGGAAGACCGGTGACACAGCCTGAGCCCCGTAAACACCCGAGCATGGGTGTGCAGTGTCTGCTTGGGGCCTCTGCACGTGCAGAGCCCCCTGACCCGCTCTGTCCTCCCCAGATCGTGGTGTGGGATGAGGCTTTCTTCCAGGGCAAGAAGCATGAGTTCACCGCTGACTGCTACAGCACCCCGGAGCACGGCTTCAGCACCGTCCGCTCCTGCAAGATCGAGAGCGGGGCGTGAGTGGGGGTCACAAGGGGCTGCCACCCCACAGTGCTGTGGGACGCCACAGGTGGAGGGGGGTTGGAGGATGGAGGCTGCCAGTGCTTTTTGCCACCTGAGCCATGGGGCTGCCCCCTCTGGAGAATGGCCTCACCCCCACAGGGTGCAGCAGGCTCTGCCCCAGGTGTGAGCAGGATGGTGGGTACCACAGGGGTCTCACCCCCCTCCCGCCCCTGGCAGGTGGGCAGGCTTCGAGCACTGTGGCTTCCAGGGGCAGCAGTTCGTGCTGGAGCGCGGCGAGTACCCGTGCTGGGAGGCATGGAGCGGCAGCAACGCCTACCACGTGGAGAGGATGTGCTCCTTCCGCCCCATCGCCTGCGCCGTGAGTGCCCCTGCCCTGGTTCCCTGACGCGGACCTGGCCCCTGGAGCCCACCGCTGGGCTGGTGCTCGGAGCCCACCGCTGGCTGCCAGGCAGGGGACTGGGCAGGGCAGCCGTGCCGATGCCATGCCCCTCTCGGCGGCAGGACCATGGGCGCAGCAGGCTGATGCTCTTTGAGCATGAGAACTTCCAGGGCAGGCGGGGGGAGCTGAGCGATGACTGCCCCTCGCTGCCTGCCCTGGGCTGGGGCAGCAGCGCCGTGGGCTCCTTCCTCGTCTGCTCCGGCGCGTGAGTACCCCACGGGCTTGCACCCTGCCAGGACCTGGCACTGGGGGCACACACTGGAGCTGACGATGCTCTGGCAGCTGCCAGCACCCTGCCCACTGCCCAGCGTCCACAGCACGGGGTGCTTCATGGTGCTGCCAGTCCTGAGCCATCGCCGCTCTCTGCTCTGTTGCAGGTGGGTCTGCTCACAGTACCCGGGGTACCGCGGCTTCCAGTACCTCCTGGAGAGCGACAGCCGTGCGGGCGAGTACAAGCACGTGCGGGAGTGGGGCTCCCATGTGCAGACGGGCCAGGTCCAGTCCATCCGCAGGGTCCAGCAGTGACTGCTGGCGCTGGAGCCATTGTGCCGCTGGCTGCGTACCCTGGGCACCATCTCTCCCGTGGGGCAGCAGGGCAAAAGCTCAATAAAGGCTTAGTTGTCCAAGGCGGTGCGCTAGCAGTTGGGGAGGGAGTGCCATGGGGTTGTGTGGCCGGGAGCGATGCTGTGCCCGAGGGCAGGGTGGGAGCTCTGCAGGGGCAAGGATGGGATGGGAACGACAACCATCCTTTTCTGCCCCTGCAGCCAGCACAGGCACCCACATGTCCCCGTTGCAGGCAGGCAAAGCCCCTGCTCAGCTCACATATGGAGCAGCGATGCGGTGCGGTGGCCTGCCCTCAGCCCCACTACCAGACCCCAAGGAGCTGTGGGGCCGGGGCACGGTGGTCAGGCCCAGTGCAGGGGTGAGGAGCCAGGTGCTGAGGCAGCGGGAGCAGCAGTGCAGCCCTTGCACAGCGCTGCACATCCCACCAGTGAGGACTGTTTTTCTGTCCCATCCCTGTGCCAGCCCGGCTGCCGGCTCAGGGGCTCTGCAGGACCCATACATCCCCGCCGCCCCACAAACCCCATCCGCTCTGCCAGCACCTGCCCAGGGCCACGCTGCAGCCCCAGCAAGGCTGAGGAGGACACTGTGCGGCCGCTGCTGAGCCTCAGCCTTGCTCGGGAGCTGGAAGGAGCTGCAGGATCCAGCAAGCTGCAGCTGCACGCCGTGCATCCCCCTGCCCCCATGTACATACCTGTGCACACACCCGTGCACACGCCCCTGCACTCATGCACACCAACACACGCACCCCTGCACCCCCACCAGCTTGCAGCACCCACCAGCCCCACGGCACCTCCCATGCCCAGAGCAGAGCGGGGAGACCAGGGCAGAGGCAGGCAAGCCCGCAGCGGTGCAGAGGACCAGGCCAAGCTGTGTGCTGGCTCTGGAGCAGCGAGGTGACACCACAGGCTCGCAGCTCTGCGTTTGCCCCAGCAGTGCAGTGGGCACAGGCAGGGCCTGCTCCTCCCTGCCTGGCCCTGGGCTGCCACTGCAGGAAACCTGGGGCAGCAAGAAGCCATCAGGGGCTGCTGATAAACCATCTTCAACTCGTGAGGAAGCACTGGTTAACTGAAGCTGAAAACATGACAGGGAAAGGCTGCTCTGGAAAAATTTCTCATTTCAGAAGAGCTCTGGAGAAAAGGTGATGAAAATGTCCCATTCCTGACATTTGCAGCAGAAGGACCACCATCGGAGACAATGCTGCCCAGGAAGGGATTCTCTCTGCAGGAAATCATAATTAAAAATGCAGAACAGAAAAAGAAACAAGTTTTGGGATGGGCTAAGCGCAACCCTCCTGCTGCCCCAGGACAAACAGTGTCTGGGGCCGCCAGGCAGCGAGACCTGGAGGAGTGGAGCTTCCTGGCCCCTCTGCAGCCACATCTGGTGGGGAGCCTGGTCCTGGCCAGCCCACCCTGCCCCTGCCCAGCCCCAGAACCCCAGGGGGACGTGGGGGGCCAGGAGCGGGGCCAGCTCACAGCCAGGCATGGTGGGCAGCTGGTGGCGAGACTGGTGGGTCCCTAGGGACCCAACAGGGACCTGGAGAACAGCGTAAGAGCCCAGCAGCTGCAAAGAGTTGCGGAGGGGCTGTCCCAGCCCTCCAGCCCCCAGGATGGGGGTTTGCCCCTCTGGGCACCGCAGCCACGGACATGTCCCCAGGCTGAGCTGGTCTCTCTGCCATCCCCACTGAGCACGGCCAGATCCTGCGCACCATGTCCCCAAGTCGTTTGCCCGCAAGCGCTGCCTGCCCAGCAGCCCCTGCCCCTTGTCCCCTGTGCCAGCCTCATGGGTATGGGGTGCCCATGCCACCCCAAACGGCTGCGGGGAGCCTGTGCCACCCCAGCGGGCCGGTGTCTTGGCAGGGGGTGGACGGTGGCCTTTGCAGCGGGGGCCTGGCCGGTCGCCACCGTGGCCCGGCTGCGGAGGGGTGGGTGTCCGCGCTGCCTGCCCAGCAGCCCCTGCCCCTTGTCCCCTGTGCCAGCCTCATGGGTATGGGGTGCCCATGCCACCCCAAACGGCTGCGGGGAGCCTGTGCCACCCCAGCGGGCCGGTGTCTTGGCAGGGGGTGGACGGTGGCCTTTGCAGCGGGGGCCTGGCCGGTCGCCACCGTGGCCCGGCTGCGGAGGGGTGGGTGTCCCCGGGGTCTGCCGCAGCAGGCAGCGGCGAGGGGGCGCGGGCGGGCGGGCTGCGGGGGGGGGGAGGGGACTCGGCCGCCATTCCCGCCATA